TAAAATATTTATATACTTATTTTATGGTGTGTGGTCAAGCACTGGAAGAGGTTGCCCAGAATGGTCGTGTGGTTCCACCATTATGGATTTATTCTATAAACTCAACTGGATGCATCTGGGGGCAACCTTCTCCTAGTGCTGGTCCTTCACTAGGCAGACGGATTCTTTCTACAAGCCTTGCTTTGCATCAGGAAACTAGCATCAGAGAAAGAAAAAGGCAAAAGAGGAAAAAAAAGAAAAAAAGAAGTGAGCTTTTCATTTTAGTAATCAACACTTCTGTTTGGAGTACACAAACACAGTCTTCATTAACACTAGTGATTACACCGACATCCAGAAATGCACATCAGAGCAGATTTACGGATGTTTCTAAAGACTTGATGATCCACTGTGTCTAAGCCCAGCTTGCGTGGTCCATGCCAGCAGCTCTGCAGAGAATTATCCTTTATGTCCCACTTCCAAAGGATTTTATATCACTGGTGCAGGTTAGCTACCTTTATGACTTTCTGTGGCTGGCTTTTAACCTAGACGTGTCAGAGAACACCCCATCTCAGTGCTCCCCACAGGCATGCACATGAATTTATTAAGGCCCTGAAAGCAGTTAGCTGTGGCTCCACAGCAGACTCAGACAGCCTCAGTGTTTCTCCTGGAGCTTTCTCTCTTCTGACAGTAACTCACTCCATAATTCAAGATGCTTCAGATTCCCTCTTAAAAGATAATCTTTATTGTCAAGCTGGTTGCTGCACAGCTGACAGAGTGGCACAGGTTGTAAGCGCTGAGCCAGATAACCTCTGCAGACAAAGCAAGGGGAACCATAGCTTTTTTCTCTAGCTGCTACAATTCCTGTAACTATTATGAGGTGAAGGCAAATGATTTATAAAGCATGACATAATAAGATTTGCAGAAATGACCAACCTGACAATCATGAAGTGGCAGGGGCCATTTGCCACTCATTAAAACACACTGTGTGTATTAATGGCCTATGTGGCCACCCCGAGACATAATTTATTTAAAGACACACCAAAGTTAAACTGAAATTGGTGTATCGATTAACAGCTGCCAATATAAATTGAAATAAAAGAACTTAAATTTTGCATTTTTCCCTACCTACAGAAACTATCAGAGTTATGTACAGCAGAAATGAGAAGTGACTCAGTTGCTCCCTAGAAGAAGTATTAGCAAAGGACAGACCCTGAAAGTTGAAGCCGAGTCCTCACTTACAACCAGGAAACCACAATTCAGGCAGTAAAGTTTTAAAAACCACAAATAAAGGCTCATTTGGAGCACAGTGATGCAACATAGCTTCTTTGCTGGTACAGAAGCAAACTTCTTTCTAAATGCTGTGATGCAGGCTGTGTCAGAGACATAACCACAAAACAGCTTGTCTTTCTCATCCATTATAGCAATTCCAATGTTCCCAAGTGAAAGGAGTAGAGAGCCTGTAAACATGTCATCAGACCAGCAGTTATGTTTGCTCCATTCAGTTCCTAGCTGAATTGCATTCAATTGTTGCCACTGGTTACCAGTAGGCACTATTTCAAAATGAATGGGGGTTATTAGAAAAGAACTACAACTTCAAGTAGATTTAATTCCCATTTACTTTTATCATTACATGAACTTTATGAGAGGTTTCTTTTTATGTTGCCAGCTAGACTATTTCTAAATGAACGATTTATGAGTATTCTAGTATTTGCCATATCACACAGGACATCCACCTCTATAATAAGAGGATACATTCAAAGCCCAGAAGAGTTCCTCAGTGCCTGTTTGTACAGCTAAAATTGTAGTTTCTGCTAGTCAAGAATTCTCAAGCAAGGCATTTTTATGACATCCCCTGTTGTTTCATATACTTTGCTTCTTGTAGAAACATCACCCACATGCTAACAAATTCAGAACTGCTCTGTGGTAAGTACAGATTAATTAGCTAGTGCGTATTTAAGAACAAGTATCTTTTCTCTTTTTGAAATTCAGGATGTTCCAACTGGTCCTTTCCCACTCAGGTGTGCAGCACCTGTTGCCTGCATCATCCTCTGACAAAGGGACAATATACAGCGCCACTATGAATGAGGAAAAGGTATTGTTGTCAAACTGATTTATCGTTATTAACCAGTAAAGTTTCAACAAAATTTCATCTGGCATTTTATTCAGCACAATGGAAGTGATCCTTGACAATTTGTTCATACTTTGATATGAACAATTGACACCATCACGTTAAATTCATTTTAATTTTGGTGTTGTAAATACAGCTTGTTTCTGCAAGGCAAAACTTGTAATTGAAATCTGATCATGGCAAAAATGCCAACTTTTAATATCAGCTTAAGCAAACTGAGTACTAGAATATCCAAGTGGGTGGACAACCTAAGATTGGAATCACAGAATCACTTGAGTTGGAAGGGACCCTTAAAGGTCTCCTTGTCCAACCCCCCTACAAAGACAGAGACACCTGCAGCTCAATCAGGTTGCTCAGAACCCCCCAACCTGACCTTGAATATCTCCAGGAACGAGGCATCCACCACCTCTCCGGGCAACCTGCTCCAGTGCCTCACTACCCTTATCATAAGAAACATTTTTCTTACGTGCAGCCTTGCAACATCCCACCCATAACGAGACGGAAGGGGTGACCAGCTGCAGTAAGAGAAATGCAACCACCCCACATGTTCTGCCTACTCTAAACTAAACTTTTGGTGATTTAATCTGTAGCTGACTGACCAAGTGTTGCTGACAACACAGCCTGAACCCTGGCTCAACGTGTTCTGGTTGCTCGAAACATACCTACTTTGAACAGATTGTATGTTTTGTGCGAAGCCTTTAAATACAAGATAACACACACTAAGCTTTGAGGGAGAAACAAACTTAGTGAATATCCAGAGAGGTGCAAAAGTCAAACTCCTCAAGATGTCTAATGTTTCCTGAGAAGTTTCCTGCACTATTTGTGGCCAGTAAATGAACCTCCTGACTTAGGTGAACTGCAGTAAAACAAGGTGGGGATCAGAGAGACACCCTACCAGGCAAGAAAACAGAATATCTGCCTTAAGAGCCTGGATCCACATACCTTTGCTGTAGAAGCAATATTGTCAGGGAGTGCTATAAATACTCATATGGGAGTATGAGGGCATAGCAACAGTTCTGGACTCTCAGTTCTGGTTCAGACTCAGTCTGAACCAGCGTAAAAATGACAACATAACACATACAATAACGACAAAAGCACAGACCAAGGAGATTCCTCTGTAGATGAAAAGCAAAGCAGATCATGTACAAACAGCACTGACAAGTCTTCAAAGAAGCCCCACAGGATGGCAGTGGGCATAAAAGCTGCTCTGATCATCGTGGATGCAGCCATTTAGAAGCATCTAGCTGCTGAGCTTAAGGAAACTGTCTAAAATAGCAAAGAGAGCTAGAAAATCAGAAACTTCAATTCCTCAAACCTATCCCTCTGAGACGAGTCTCACTTCTAAATAGAGATCTCAACTGAGAAGGAACAAACTCCTCGAGCCATTGGGAAGCTAAGGATGGAACTCTGTACAGGAGGAGACAAAGCCTACTGAGCTGCATGGCTGCAGCACCAGCCAGGCAGCTGGGCCTCATCTTCAGCTTTCCCATATCTGGGTACTATATAACCTGCTCCACTATTTTGTTAAAAAGACTCTAAGACAACTTTCCTTTAAAATTTTAATACAGCATGCTATGTGCTGTAGGATTCTCAGGCAAACCATGCTCAGCAAGATAGTCAAGGCCATCAAGAGACTATGGGAACCCTTTTCGATCCATTGCTGGTATGAATCCTGACACTAAGACCATCATCAAGAAATAAAACAAGCTTCCATCAGACATCTGAATGATGCCATTTCACACAGCAGTCTTTGAGAAGAACAGCAGGCTCCAAGGAGGAGCTGTGGTATGTGGCAGGGCCACCAACTTCCATATTTAATACTAGACCAGGCTGCCCAGGATCCCATCCAACCTGGCCTTGAACACCTCCAGGGACAGAGCATCTACAACCTATCTGGGTAACAACAATTTATTACACTCCCCCTTCCTCCCTCCCCCCCAAAAAAAGCCATTATTTCCTTCTGCTCTTAGCAGCAGACGCAAGTAGCAAGCACCTGGCAGAGTATCAGCATTTACTTCAGTACTTCCAGACTGTACTCAGCTCTGCCAGAACAACCCCTCAACAGCCTTGTGAGCTCCTGAAGCTGCTATTAGTTCACACACACATTTTCACTGACAACTGCCAGGGAATATCTGTCCCACTTATTCTTATAATCATGCTGCAGGTTGTAGTTCATAAGAATTGCATGTCTTTTGTTGAAAAGCAGTACTGTTTTCCTCCTTCGGGTCAAATCTTTCTGCAGTGGGACCCTCATTGCATGGCATATCAGGGTATCGTGGTTGGGGGTTTGTCAAAGTCTCATGTTTATTTTATGGTCATGTTTTAAATCAATACCTATTCTGAAGAAGACAAACTCTCTTGGCATAGCCTGCTGCCAGTGTGCCAGGCCTCTCCTCTCAGGGCCACCGTTCCCACTGCAGCTGCCTAATGAAAGGTGGGAGAAGGGAAAGCATCAGCAAGGGAGAAGATGGAATCGCATCATGGAATCAGCTTGATGAGGATCATAACGCAGCTGGTGGCTCCTGCCAGGCCTTTCTGCCATGCCATCACCCACAGCTCAGCGCAGGACAGGGCTCACTGCAGTGCACGGGTACTGCTGGGCACAGGCCTTGACCTGCTTCGCTGCACAGAAGCGAAGCTCAGGAGTGACTTGTAACAGATTTAAGGGGGCCTTCAAAGCGAGTCAACCACAACAGAAATGGCCCACATCCTGTCAGGAAAATAAGATTACAAGATCCATTTCAAACCCATTCTTCAAACACCCGCAGTTTCTCACTTTGTGAAGGACGCTGCAGTTTTCCCTTCCGTTTGCCGGGCACTCGTTAACGAGGCTGCGGCGCCATCTCCTGGAACGGTTGCTTCTAAAACCAAAACGTCGAAAAACGGATCAAACAAAAACTCACCCGTTTTCACACACGCGTATACACACAGCAGTAGGTTGAACTGAGGAGCCGCTTAAAAGAACATGAAAAAAACGAACCCAGATTTATTGGGAAGCAGGTAGTTTAGCCCTACAGCTGTGTATCATAGCGGTACTCCTTGCTACTTGCCTATATTCTCAGTGCATCCTGAAAGTGATCAGTGCCATAAGGCATATCATTTTTATAATGGGAGGTCACACTCATTGTTGCAGATGTATTAACACTGTTGGTGAACTATCCCACTGAGTGGGACTGTACCCAGTACCACACATCACCACATGCACCTCTAGAGTTGTCATATCTATCCAGCTGACAACTATGTTTCTCTGTATAGCTACAGGGTTAAATACTTCAGTTATCTAAAAACATTTCTTTCATTAAAATGTTTCAGGGCATGATATTTAAGGCTGTTCCTTAAAAAGAGGCAAAACTACCATTATTTTTATGATCTAATCAATGTAACATAATGGTCCCAGGGCCTCAGGTCTCCTTCAGGAAAAATGGCAATTTCTGTAGACACGGAAATGTTATCCCTAAAACTGTCAAATGAGTAATACAGGGCTAATACTGTGTACACAACGCAGCATCTTGCTTTTGAGCAGAAAAATAACCTTCAGCACTGTGCTGTATTTACCAATATATAATAATGTATTTACTAATAGAGCCTGGCAGAAATATTTGGATTTTTCTTTAACAAAGGGCACTGATGAGCAACAAGCAATAAAGACAGACTTCACCAAGCAGACTGCTCTTCAGCCATGCCATCAACCAGCTGTACGAACGGATTCATCAAAGGTGCTCCTGATGCTCTTCTCAAGTACTGTGCTTTTAATAACCCCATTTCCACTGCTTTGTCAAAGAAATAACTGGCCTCAAAACGAGGCATGTTAGCTCTGACATCTTTTTAGTCAAACATTATTCTGTGTGTAGTCCTCAGACATTTCCTAGGGCTTCTCTGTTGCTGTAACATTCGCTTTGTCAGAAATGAATTCTGTTTTCATTGCTATAGGCTGAACTCTGGATAAAACTACAGAAGAGTACGCAAGATTTAATTGAGGCAAGCAAGACTGGGTTTGCAGTGACATAAAGCAAGCAAACATTTGCAGTAGAAGATGTCAACGGTGGTTTACAAGTCTGAAGTGCATGTATTTGAACATTTCTCTCGTAAACAAATACTGCAGCAGCACACACTGTTGTGACATTTATGACCAACTTTGTAAATAAATACTTAAATCTCCAACTACATTCTTTGCCTTTTCAAAACACTATCCAGTTTACTCCTTGATGCATTCAAATATTAGCTGTAGACCACAACAGCAGCAGGTCATTTTCTAAGAAAGAAGTTTTCTCCATCATTTGAATAGGATGCTAAAGTTGGTGAAGAAATTATTTTTTAAAACATGTATGTACTTGATTTCAAATCACATTCATTCAATTATCATGTAAAGGAGATGGACGCAGCGGTAGGAAGAACATGACTCAATTTCTGCAGGATGGTTTAGTTCATACATTGGAATCACACTAAGGTCCCATGTGCATTACACAGCAGCAAATTTCCTTTGCTGAAAATGAATTTCACTTACTGGAATGATTGAAAGTATTATTAACTCAGGGTGAGATTTCCAAAAGGTGATCAGTGAAGTAAGCAGATTTTTAGAACTAACCCTCCCTTAAACATGTACTTAACTAAAAGCACAATTAAAAAAGACATACCCAAAGTAAAGCTACTGCATAGGCCTGCAGATTAGCACGAGGAGGTATCTCAAGAAACAAAGCTCCCTTACACCTACATACCTGTTGCAAAATGAATGGAGTGATTAAAAAGGCATGACAAGATTATTTTATGCACTATATTGTTCCCATCTTTCAGTGATGTTACCCAGCACCCATACTGTAGGCCCTCACTCTGCACATGTAACGGCACACATAGAAACGGCTCTCAACTCTTTTCTGCAGTGCACACATATCCCCTTTATACGATGTTGGTAGGCATACAAGTAGCATTTGTATTTCAGTGTCAGCCTTTGCGTTGTTCTTAAAAAATCACACAATCTAACCCTCTGATTTACCACCAGATAATAATGAGCCCTATCTGCTGCTAAATCGGACTTGTGTCCAACTGGCACATGAAAAGAAATGGATTCTCTTGAGTAATTCCCGCTGGTTTTGAGGAGATGTTTACTTCTTCTTTCAACTCAAGTTCTGATCTCGTAGAGACATACAGGATTTTTCAAGGTCTGAATTTTTTCCCCAGGTGTGCACCGCAGAACAGAGAAATTACTTTAATCAAACAAAATCCATGATATTCTACAGTGTTCTTCTTGAACTCCTTCTACAGAAGTGCCCAAATCTGTCACTGGACCTCTTCTCTCCTGTTCTTCCAGACAGTTAAGTAATACATAAGAAAAAGTAAACCTGGTTCAGTTGCTCAATTGCTTCTGCACTTTCCAAACCACCACTTGAACTCATTCTGTCTTAACCAAAGACAACTTGGATACAGTGCAACAACTGCTTTTGATAGCTAAAGTACGAAAAATCTCAGAGCAACATGATCCCTAATGATACCAGTGTTAAGAAAAAACCAAACCAATAAATATTAACCATTTGCTAAGCAGCAATACAACAGTAATGTGTTGTGTGTTAGTTTGCCCTCGCCATTCTTTTAGCTTCATTTTCAGCCAACAAACAGATCTGTAAGAAATCATCCATGGAGAACTAGAAATTTTACAACTTCAGACAATTTTTGCTCTCACATAGCCCTTGATTATATCCCAACATTTATTCAAATCATTCTTTAAGAATTATTTTCTATGTGTAGAAATAGCATCTCTTCACTCGTCTTATACACCTCTACGTTCAATGACTGCACAAGGCTAAAAGTCATTCAACCACATCTCCGTTACCTGTTATTCCCAGAAAGAACAAAGAAAGAGTCCTGCAGAAATCAAAAGACAACAGCACTACAAAAATCACAGAATTGTGGTATTCCTCTTATTCTAAAAAGCTCAGAGTGAAGGAGAGGAGCAGATCTGAGAAGTTGTCAAGTTTTAGAACCTGATCTGCAACTCAGGTAAATACTGAAAAAAATATCACAAAACAACAGTGCATGATCTTCCGCATCAAACGTCATTTTTAACATCAGACACATGGGATACAAAAATATCCTATCATTTTAATAGAGTTGAATTACTCTCAGTTTCTAAAGTTGGTGCCTAGTCTGATGCTTTCCTTGTGCTTTACTTGGCATGCCCTATGTGGAAAGGCTGAGGGCACTGGGCTGGAAGAGGCCAACACAGTCTCATAGAATGGCTGGGGTTGGAAGGGACCTCAAGGATCATGAATCTCCAACCCCCCTGCCACATGCAGGGCTGCCAATCTCCCCATTTAATACTAGACCACGGTGACCAGGGCCCCATCCAACCTGGCCTTGAGCACCTGCAGAGATGGGGCATCCACAACCTCTCTGGGCAGCCTGTGCCTGCACCTCACCACTCTCATAGTAAGGAACCTCCCCCTGATATCCGTCTAAGCTGAAGACTGCTCTCTGTAGCTCCCGAGGAGGGGAAGTGGAGGAGTTTGTTCTACTTGTGAATATCTTCACAGCACTGAACTATGTGACACAGCTTATAACCTAAAGAATGTGGCAACAATGCTGAACTGCCTCCAAATTGTCAGGTGGGAGAAATCCACATTGTTAAGGGAAATAATTTCTTCGGCATGAAGTAAATACAGTAATGAAAATACAGTTAAAGAACTTAAAACCCTCAGAAAAGGCTTTTCTTTTGAACTGTTATGTACTTTTGCCAAAATACCTCTGGGAGGCTGGGTGGATTTTTAGGTTTAATGGAAGTAGCAGTGAACAGAAACTTAACTCTGAAGTTCCAGGATCACAGAAGATCACAACTTGCTAATTCTTATTTCTTTTGTATTTCCTAATCTTTTAAAATAAACTCGAAGGCAGAACACAAAAGAAAGTATTGTCTTTTTTTTTTTTTTTTAATAATAAAAATATTGGCATGTTTAGACTTTTTTTTTCCCCCAGTTCTATTATTTCAGCTGACGTCTGTCTTCTATTCTGTCCACAGAGAAACATTCTTATTTCTTCTCGATTTCAGAGCTAGGTTCTGAAATACAATACAGACTACAGAAACCCTTCTGTTTGTTTTGGGGGATGGATGATCTTTTGAAGAAGCTTACCACCCTACCAATACAAAATTGCCCAATGCTCACATCACCACCACTTGCAGAAAAATGCTGCTTCAACACTGATTATGTAAGATGAACTCACTTTAGTGTGGTCAAGAAATCTGATTTCCTCCCTAAATTTCCCAAACAATGAAAAATGAAAGACTGATACTGATGAAAAAGTATGGTTTTAATGTAAAAGAATATTTTGGCTCTATACTGAAGAGCACCAGAGGAATGTGTGCAGTTATAAACCCTGCCTGTTTGTGCTTGATAGCACAACAAGCAAAGCTTTCCCATCCCATATCAAAAAGTAAGAACAAAAAGGAAGTAATGAAGCGACCGGCAGTTTTAATTTAGAAATGATAACAAATACTTTTTATCTGAAGTTTATGTTAAATGGGAAATAAAACCCAGAGGATGCAGACTGAAATGTTAGGTATTTGCCAGAGAGGTGAATTTGTTAGTCCGAATGATCAGGATAAACAACAACAACAGAACCAAAACATTTCTAATGTGACATCCTATGATGATTTTTGAGCCTTCCAAGGGGAAGAAAGGGAGGCAATATACCAGTAAATACACACATAGCTGCTAAAATCGCTGCTACCAATCAGTGCATCAGAGCAGGGTGAACGTGTTCCTCATGTTACTATTGAGTTGTATTACGCCAAATACAATAGTCATCACACATATCAACTTTTAACTCACATCTCTAATTTGAGTTATGTTAAAATAATTCTTCATTGGAGAGAAGCGATGCTGCTTACCTGCATACGAATGGACCTCATGCAAACAGGAGTTTTATTAGAACTTGTTTTGTTTAGTTGACATAAATACAATCTGAATGCAATTCAGCTCTGGCAACTGCTATATTAGAGGTAACACTGAAGGAAAATTATCAACTTTAAATGCAGCAAAATATATATCTAAATTATATACAGAAATACGTATTTCTTTGTATCGTGTATAATATATGTATAATTATAAAAATGATTTATTTTTATTTTAAAGAAAACATGTCCTTCGCAAGGATGGCAAGATCTTTCACAGAAAAATGTGAGCACACCAAACAACCTCTTCTAGTAAAACCTCAATTACTTTTGAGATACAAAAATTGTTAATGGCAACCATGGCTGACCATTTCTGTATTATGTGCAAGCTTATTAAATTTTCTCAATTGCTTCTATGCAAAACCAAGAAAAATACTAGAGAAAATTGTCACATCAGGAATCTTTAAGAGCCGCCTTTCAGAATTCCAGTTTTGTACTTCAGCTTCAGACATTTATTGTTCAAGAAACAGCTAGAGGTATTTCTGGCATCATCCTTAACAGAACTGCCTGAACCTAACTGCACTAAAAGCATAAATACATCAGATTTAGTTAAGCAAACATACTTGACATACAGTAGGGGAGTAAAACAAAAAATAATAATAAAAAAATATCGCCTCTCCCAAAAACAAGCACTTAGATCAATCAAACAAGCAATCCAGTTAAAGGCAATGCAATCTGAACATGTAAGCTAGTTAGATTTTATAAAACTAACATGTAATATCAGAATTATGGTAGTTACATCTTAAGTCTGTCTTCCTGCTCTGCTAAAATATCCAACAGCTACCCGGTGAGAATCCTATCTTGGAATTTCTATCATTTACAGAAAACTTAGAAATTTTCCTTATTCTTTGTAAATTAAGTTTTAAATTCTTATGTACCCACCTGTTTTGTCAGTGGTCAAAATAAAAAGTACTCTCCTGTGAGAAAGCATTTACTATGCAATACACCTCAACCTTCCCTTCTTTCCTTAAGTGAAGATTATTCGAATCCACAACATAAGCACTGTGGTAGTCATAAAAACATACACCTTTCAGCTGTGAGTGCAAGTACCCCATTTACTTACCAGTCCTCTAATCCTTTCACATAATTTAGCCTCCCATTTCATGTTTATCATATCATTCTCATACTTAATTCTCGGTCTAAAAAAAAAAAAAAAGCTTAATACACTCTGAAAAACTTAACACAAAGGAAATAAGATTAATTTGACAACTAATTAGCACAACAGATTCTTAATCAGTAGGCCTGTATATTGCTGTAATTGAAGTAGATGATTTATACAGCAGGGGAGAATGCACCTAATTCACAGTGCATTTCTACCATATGGTTTCTCTCTAGGGTCATCCCATACTTTTTCATGACATTTAGATATGCTGGTACATTTAATTTCATTTATTTCTTCTTCTAGAAGACAATTGATACATAAGTACGAAGACTTCAGAGACAGAGAAAGCTACAATTTCAAAATTTCTACAGCATTAGAAATGTTATTACTGAATGAGTTCATAGGTTTCTTCATTCGTGTCTTACAACTAAAGTAAAATGCACCCATATCAATTCTGCTTTCCTCAAGCTGTAAGTATGAGAAGAACTTGCTCCTGAACCCCAATGCTCACAGAAAACTCTCTGAAGTCGTAAGCTTGTTTAGTCCTGTAGCAGCTTCTGCTGCATAATCAAGTAACAGGTTTCCAAAAATTTCAGCTATTAGTTAACGAGAGGAAAATCAAACTTAGACCTGACTAAAAGAGACAACTAACCAACTGTATTAACGAAACAATGACAAGACTCAAATTGAGGCAGTGGCTCTCCACCTTCTGCTATTGAACTCCAAAATCCAGTTTACTGAAATACTGCCAGCTACCATCTTCTGGTCCCTTTGTAGAGTATCTGAACATGTTCACCTCAGGTTTTTTCCTTTCAGCTTATTTCCTACCATTTCTCTCTCTCTCTCTCTCCAGCCTTAAAACCACTCTGTTTCCTGTCTCACCAGAATACCACACAACAGTAACAGCACTGTGATCTACTGGTGGCTCCACGTGCCAGAAAACATTCTGATGGGCACAGAATGATGCTCTGGCAATGCTTGCTGAGGTAATACCATATATTAGTGCCCTAATAAAAGCCATTGCATAAGGAACAGGAGGTAGAAGGCATTTCAAGAGACCTCCTTTCATACTTGTTAACAAAAGCAGAGTTGAATCCAGAGTTCAGCAGCCATCAAGCAGCTAAATGTTCTTCTCTGCTCATTTTACCTACAGCTCATCCTATTTCCCACAGACCTTCTGTTTGTCCACCCCATTTCCAAGAAATTCAGTCTATGAGTTTGAAAAGCCATGAAAACTGCAGAAGCTGTCATATTTGCTGCGAGTAGATCTGCAGGGTCATATCACTGGCATTTTTAAAAGCCAGGTTAAGAGAACTTTCAATTCATCCCTTCCTACATGAATGTTCTGTATGTTAAGATACCTGAAAACTGCACTGATACAGTAGCACTTATTTTAACTTGTATAACGAATAAACTGCACATGCTGTTTTACAGACAATATATATTTGTAAACTTGCTCATGCAAAATTAGTGTGCACAACAGGGATAATTGTTTTCTAATCCCCACACCTTAAAAAATGACATTTATGTCTGCTTCTTTTTGAACTGTGCCAAAACCCCCTCTTTAACATAATAAACCTTACACAGGATTTATCTGCCAGCCAAACCAATTTATGAAGCTGAAACAAAAAGAATAAAAAGTTATACAAAAACATGGTGCACCTGGATGCTTGATTCCCACCTCCCCCACACCTCTTTGTTGTTGTCTACAAATAGAAAGAGTAAACAAAAGAAAAAAAAAATCATGGTCACAAAATTTTAACATTTTAATCCTAAATGTTACAGGGAAAATGGATGTTGGAACCTACTTCCATACACCATGCGTCAACTTTTTAATTCCCAAATGTGGCCAAATCCACTAAAACAAGAGTGGTTAACAAACTCTGGATTATGGAAATACATTTCTGGAATAGATGCTAGAAAAGCAACAATGGGAAAAGCCAACTGTCTCCATAAAGGTAAATAAAGTGGAACAATGTGTAGATTAGATATTTTTTCTGTTTCTTACTCATAACCTGTCAATTCAGTGCATCTTATGGTTCAACATAATGGTCCCCATTTTGGGCAAACATTTAACTAGTGTCCATAGATTCCAAGTTAGTGGATGATGAATCTTTTTGGATACTTTCAAAGATGGTTGCCAGCTCAGTGTTAGAGCTTATCTGTGACTGGAATTCACTCATTAATGGACTCTTTTCTGCTTCTGGAATGGTTAGAAGTG